TAGCGCAGCAACAATAGCCTGCTTGATCCTATTTGAGAGGTGACTTTGCTAATGTCCACTGGTGTTACTCTGTAAATGATGGGCATCAGACACAAGGTCTTTAGGTCAAAACCGCCTACGTTCCAAGGAGTCCAGCCTGACATAGCTGCAGGATGGGGAGAAAAATGACATAATGGCTGTCCTTTTGTTAGGTACCTAGATTTAGGGGGGTGAGAGGAACTGTCCCTTCCAGGCCTGCAAAGGCCCCATAGAAGAGGTTGGAAACAAATCAGGCAACTAAGGACCACCTATGAAGACCCCAACTGAGCATGCAGAGACAAAGCCCTCAAGGCCCAGGTAAAACCAGTACCTTGGACACACCTTCTTAGGTACATCACATAGGTGGGCTAATTCAGCCAATGGGGTCATCTAATACCATCAACCTCGCCTCCCCAGGCAGAGGTGTGACATGTCCTGGCTGTGGGAAGGCCTCGCTCTCTGACCTTGTTCCTAGTCAGCAGCTGGTGGAGCGTGGCGGGCACACATGCATCCCCTCTGGCCTACTTGGGGCCCACAGCCTCTGTGCCTCTAGGGTTCTTGGGCCTCTGGCCTCCCGGGATCCCCCTGAGTTCCACACGTGTGGGTGCTCTTGTCCACGTGCTTGTTCATCCTCAGTTGTGAACCCCAGCACGGCTTCCCCGCAGCTTGACACACTTCCCAGAAATAGCGTGGACCCTTTTGAAACTCTGAGACCTGAAACTTGTCCTGTCCTTCCTAAATACCCCCTTGGATCACACAATGTGCTTCGGCGTGAGTTCCTTCAGCGTGTGAAGCAAAGAACCAAGGTAGAACCCACTGCAGAAACCTAACACTTTCTCTTCCTCTAAAGCCTTGTAGTTTTATTGTTTTCTTAGAGCACCTTGCCATTTGTCTAGGGTCACATCTGTCCTTCAGGCAGTAGTCGCTTGAGCCCTGCCCTGGGACTCTAAACCTACCTGAAGTGCCAGGTCAGATCTCCACCTGGGGAGGTGAAGAAAGGTTACCACCCCACACACACCTGTTTCTGGGCCCCTCCTGCTCTGTTCTGAGGGCCACGAGGTCCTGCGTGGCTAAGAGGCAGAACCCAGTGAGGAGAGGTGCCAGGCATCCCTGGAGCGGATGTGGTGGTGACGAGCTAGTGTTTGGAACTTTCTGAAAGATGGTCAGCACTAGCCCAAGCCCTGCCCCCAAACCAATCCAAGGTGCGTCTCTTCTCCTGGTGGCCAAGTTTATTCATCGAAACCTTGACCCAAACCTGCCAGAATCAGGGGTGTCCTGACCCGACCCAAGCCCCAACTCAGCCATTAGCTAACCCTCACTGGGCCCTCTGGGACTGGTGACCATCCACTCAGCCTTGGCTGTGTGCTGTCTCTCTGTGCCGGTCCCCTGATGGGACAGGGGTTGGGGCTGAGTGAGGGGGACAAGGTGAGTCCATGCAGACAGAGGGCCGAAGATGGGGAGATGCTTGGGGTCTCTGGGTACAGACAGACTGGGGAAGCAGCCCCTCCCCAGTTTTCCCAGGTTGTCCCTGCCTTCAGCCCCTCTCAAGCCCTTATCCCTGGAACATCCTGCTTGCTCCAGGGCTCGCCGCCATCCCTGGCACCCACTGAGATCAGGGTCAGGATTCAAACTAGGCTGGACCCCTTGCTTCAGGAAGTATACCCAACCCTGGGGTCCTGCTTCCCTCCTAGGGACTAGGCTGTAGCTCAGACATGTGGACACCAACCCTAGCAGGAGGGGATGCTCCTAGCCTAATAGGTCCAGAGACCACACAGAGAGGGGACCACCACCCACACTATTTGCCCTGTGCCCCAGTCTTGTGCCCCAATTTTGATAGGCGGGCAGAATGCCCTCAGGGTCCCTGCAGTCACCACCCTGCACTGTGGCCACGCCCAGGCGTCCTGTAACAAGAAGAGTCCTGTTGGTGTGTCACGTGACCGTCCTGCCTATTTAGGGCCCAGGTGGTGGCCTCAGAGTCATCCCTCTGGGTCACCCTGTGTCCACTCGCTTTCTCTGCTCCACGCCAGGCGCCCCCTTTCTCGCTGCCAAGATGATGCTCGGAGGAACCTCGGCCACCAAGCCGGCCACCGCGGAGATCCAAGAGATCGTGGACAAGGTGAGGCTGGGCGCCGGGGACCTGCACCCTCCCTGGCAGGTCCCAGGGTGCGCTGATAGCTGCGGGGAGAGGGCGAGTGGCCTGGGCGCTTATCTACTGTCTATTCCCACAGTCGAGTGGGAATAGAGCTCCCCCTAAAGGGAGACGACAGAAAGTGACCAGGAACAGCTCCAACTTCCCAGAGGAGCTCCTAGTGTGAGCACTGCCTGCTGCGGCCCCCTGGGACTAGGGAGACAGTTCTGAACAGTCTCCTTGGACACTCGGGTCCATTGAGCACAGGAGAGAGGTACAGAAAGCAGGGCGTCGTAGGCCGGACGGTCCGGGGTAACTTCTCTGAATTATTTGGGGGAGAACAGGGAATCAGCCTGGAAGGGGCTCAGGCCTTTGCACAGCAGGATGATAAAACTCAGCAGGACCCGAGTGAGCCCAGGGCCTGGCTCAGCCCTGCAGCTGCCCCTTGATTGCGCCCTGCCTGCTTCCTCCCCAGGGACAGGGGTGTCTTTGCTGCAACAGCTTCTGGACGTTGTGAGGGTTAAATGGCTCGGTGCGTGTAAGGCACCGAGTGTTTTCCTTCAATCCCCCTAGTCTGCGATGATGGGCCCGCAGAACCACTTCTCTCCCCTGCTGCTCAGGACAAGGAACGCAGAGAGCACTCAGGGCTCTGCAGGAACAGTAGGAAATGTGATTTCCTCCTTTAATTCTCCTCCCTGTGCTGCTGGTCAGAAACACCACCCACCCACCCCCTGCCAGGGCCTGTGGTCGCCCCACCCGCATTGCTCCAGGGTTTTTAAGCTGGCATGAAAGGGTAGTGAGTCAGACCCTGGGGTCGGCCCTTTGAAAAGGAGGTGTTTTTCCAGAACACACGTTTTGGCTTGTAGGAGCCACACCTAGCAAAGTCTGCCTCATTTTCCCACCAACACCCACCAGCCTCTGATAGGACTAGCCCCGCCCTGCACCTGTTAGTTCACAGCTTCCTCACAGACACCCCCCCACCCCCCCTCCTCTCACTCCCCTCAGCTAAATTGGAGCCCTCACCTATGGGGAGCCCCCTCCTGTCCCTTAGAGGGTCCACTGTCCAGCCTGTCTGCGTTGGGCTTTCTCACCCCGACCTCGATGGTCGCTGCTCTTGCCTCTGCTCTTGAAACGCGGCAGAGAAGGGATTCTCATCCCCAGGCCCCAGGCCAGCGTGTGGGCAGCTACACCCATCCTAGGTGTCCTTTGTCTGGCTGTGGGCTCCCCACAGGCCCAGCCCTGCACCTGCACACTACAGGTCACGAGGGTGAAGTGGACGGGCTTTTCTCAGGTCGCCACAGGGATCAGTAGTGTGCTCCGTGAAATGATCCTGGCATCAGACTCAATACAGTAACCTGGAGAACCGGAGGGTCCGTTGAGTTCAACAGGAGTTAACCTTCCAATGCCCTCTGGGACCCTCGAGTTACCCCTAAAGCCTATATGGGAGCAAGGGTGACCAGTATGATGCACGAACCAAAGCTGTTTAGAGGTCACCATGGCTGACTTAAAATTACACTGTCTGCAATCAGTCTGACGCTCACAAACCCTTGGTGGAGTAAATGACAAATGAATCCTTGTGTGAGTGAGTGTGCGTGCGTGCGTGCGTGCGTGTGTGTGTGTGTGTGTGTGTGTGACTCCATCGTCACACTAACGGTGTACTACCTTGCCTCCATTATAAAGGGCAATCTTATTGCAGAAAATATGTCATGGGTTTGGCAATACGAGTTCGGTTTATAAGATTCAACATGAAACAGGAGCTCTCCGGGTGTATAAGTCCCCCGGCAGATGGGAGGTCACAAGTTTTGTGTATCATTCTGTTCCCTTTGCCCAGGTAAAGGCCCAGGTGGAAGAGAAAGAAAACAAGACATTCCAGGTGTTTAAGGCGGTGGAGTACAAGTCTCAGGTGGTCGCCGGGACGAACTACTTCATCAAGGTGGAGTCTCCTTCCCAGGGTGAAGGGGGCTCACTGGAGAGCAGCTCAGAGAGCTGGGGTGGCAGGACAGGAGCGGTCCTCAGTGGGGTGTGAGGGAGGGGTCTTGGACCTGCTCTTGGGGATGTGGGGGCCAGGGGAGGTGCTAAATCAGGTGGGCAGCTGAGTCTGCTGGGCTGTGGTCACCTGTGTGTAGTCTCCCCTGCCTGGAGGAGGGCGGTGGGAGCTGTCATAAGGCCAGGTAGTTGTGGGAGACTGAACAGACTGGCCTTCCCTCATTCCCTTGCTCGCTTGCCTGCGCGCCTTCCCTGTAGCGGGAACACATTCCAAGGCTGTGTCAGGCTCCTCAGACAACTCTCTCCCTGCAGGTCCACGTGGGCAATGAAAACTTCATGCACCTGAATGTACATGAGAGTCTCCCTCACGAGAAGAAGCCTCTGACCTTGTCCAACTACCAGACCAACAAGACCAAGCATGACGAGCTGACATACTTTTAACCCCTGGTTCCTTCGAGGGCCCTGGATCCACGTGACCCACACATGAAGACGGTTCTGTCGTCTGAGTGGGAACCCGGGACCAGAAAGTACACATGTCCACCCCGTGCTGCTGTGTCTTGTTCATTGTGTCCCCCAAATAACGTACGTGATTCCATAACCCTAATGTTAGTTCCCAAGAAGACCAAGCAATCTCTTGAAATCTATTTTCCAAAGTCTTTGAAACTCTGTTGTGTGTGTCTCTCTTCACCCCTGACTGTAACCATCATGTGCGATGGTTGCTGGGAGCCCTGCGCCCCCTCGGCTGGGCAGTGGCAGCAGAACGCAGTCAAGCAGCTGGCCAGGAGGACTGGCCACACGAGGCCATCTGCATGCACCTGGTTGCACAGGACTGTCCCCTCTGGTCTGCAGGTCGGTGGGGCAGAGCCTGCTGGGTGTGGATGGTGTCTCGGGTGAGGCTTGTGAAGACAGTGCAGAGACAGAGAGACAAGCTCTCTTCCTTCCTCTCCAGAACTGCCTCCTTCCTGCCCCACCTTACATGGGCTGGGGATGACCAATGACAGAACCA